GTACTATGAAAGTAGTATTTCTACACTATTAAATCATAATACTAAAACTGTACTATAAAATGAGCCATGTGACATTTATGCTAATATGTCCTTGGCACGATTTGTTTTATTCATATGAGTTAGCTTACAGTGTGTATATTGGGAATTTTGCTCTAAAATATGCGATTTTGGGTGTGCTTCAGCCGGAGGTCTCTTGTTAAAATGAATAATATTTTATTCTGTCTATAATGTGATATTAGCAGTTATATTCAACTGTACAAGGCACTGAGTGGGAGGAACATGGGTTACAATGACATTATTTTTGAAAAGAATTTTGAGACAAGACTATTGTTCTTTCTACCCTTCTGAAGTTTTGCCTCAAGGCTGCGTGTGCCTACAAAGAGGGACTTCTCTCATCTTTATCTTCTTTGAGATCAGACAAGACCGTGGTGGCATGCAGCCTGGATCAGCAATATGTGCACTGTATGATAAATCCGCACTACTACTTTTATAACACTACTTGTATGTGGTTAATTAAATAGTAAAAATATATATCCAGCTAAAATATGTCGTGTTAAAATCTTTGCAAAAACCTCATATTACACAAATTTGCCTAGTGAGCTTTGAGCCATTTTAGAATATTGTTACCTCCTCAACACAAATTTAGAGTTGTGTTTTGTTTCTTTCGCACATGTTTGAGTGATCCTTTACTATTAGTCTGTTTACATCTCCAAAGCTCAAAATCCTCTGTTCTACCTTGTGATGTCATAAACCCTTAGTTCAATAAAGACTGACAATTCCAGGGCTGAAATTATCCAAATAATTCTAGTTAAGGTATATGGAGTAGGGTTTCGCATTCAATTAAAATTTTCTTAATCGATTGTCGGGAGAATTAACGATTGATTTTTGATTAATCATTAATGTTTTTATACTAAAATTATCATCATTATTATTATTATTATTAGTAACCTGCATAAACTATTAGCGCTGCTCTTAGCTCTTAGTGCAGCTCTTTATTTAACAGTCATTTCAGTCACTTTATTTATTTTGGCTAGAAGAAAAGACTGAAAAGTGTTTGGCTTTTGAATGCATGTGCACTCAACTTTATGTTGCAGTAACCGGAATACTACTTATACATCCACCATGACAAAATCGGAATAACTCAAAAAACCCAATCATACCTGGGATACTAATGTGCACTCAGTGAGTGGTATAGTGATCTCCAAGGAGGTGTGCCAGAGCCGAAATGTGGGACTGTAAGGCTGCAACTCCAGTGTTTGAGCTGTCAGATGTAGCCTCATCTCCATCGCTACACTACGCACAGCAACCTACATTTGGTTTGTCGATAAAAAAGTAACGTGATCGACAAAATTCTTAATGATCAATTATCTATTATATCATGGACATACCTAATATGGAGTCTAAAAACACAGTGGAGCACTTCTTGTATTAACATATAACATCACAAGTGTTTTCTGTTTGAGAGAAGAACTCAGCCTAAACATGCAGGGTTTGTGTGTTTAACATGTGTCAATCAATCAAAACACAAATCACAGTATGTTTCTGACAAGGAAACAACATTATAACATAGATCAGAAAATAGCGTAATCCGGGCACTTTTAGCAAATTACTCAAAGCTATGAAGGAAGCTAATTGATGCTCTGCCTATAACTAATGCATAAAACATCAAGATTAAATGCTGGGTTTTTCCAAACAGCTCCCTATAAAACAATTAGCATAATATTTAAATTTGCATGCATGGAGTTTATTCTACGCATGTAACTCCAATAGTGAAAATTCTGTCATCTTTTATATTTCCATATGTTTCTTTAAGTTCTCTCAGATTAGTTGGTGACAGCCTGGTCCTCTGAAGTCCTTGGGCAGCTGTATCAGAGAAAAGACCCTCCTTCTAATCTTTGCAAAAGCCTCAAAGCGCATGTATAAAAACCAAGAGGCTGAGTTAAAAGAATGTAGCTAGTCCTTATATGTGTAGTGGAACGGAAAGACTGCATACATATCCAGTGTCTCTATGGGCACCTACACACGGGCCTTTTGATGTTTAATTAAAACTGAACCGGAGAGATGACGTTCTGTTTTGAATAATATGCAAATGTCAATAAGAGACATTAAAGAAACATGGTAGCAGACACGCCATGTAACGACAACTCCAGAAGAAGAACTAGACAAACAGGAAAGCGAGGAAGCAGTAATGAAACGCAGCAAAACACATAAGCGCCCATGCAATCTCCAGTTTGCGGTAATTAATGCGCGGTCCACTGATGCTAATTAGCCCTAGCGGTTTGTGACGAGTGGAGATAACTGTAGCGTCTGGGATCTTCGGCCGCCTGCAGCATCAACACATCTATTGCTGGTTTATCTATATCTGGCACTAGCAGCAAAGACAATGGACTGGACACAATTAAAGGGCTGTACGCTGTCCGTCGCTCTGATGGAACGGAGGAGAACAAAAGAGTCATCAGTAGTTTACAACGGCTTTACCCAGGCGCGAGGAAAAACTGGAGTCTACAAGGGCCAGTTGTTTCAGAAGTGCAGGGTAATAGAAATGGACTGGTGGCTCCGATATTTGTGTGTGCTTATCTCTGTTGTGTCACTTTTAACCAAAGCCCAGTTTTCCAAAGAAAGTTTGTTTGCTACAACTACAGCAATTTCGAACAAGGCCAATCATGGGATGAAGATGAGATTTTACTGATTATTTCGTCCCATAAATTTGTATTTCAAGTAACAGCAATCTGTGTGGATAAACAATACTGCTTTAGTGCGTAAGCTTGTTTGGTACTTACTTTTTAAAGCTACCATCTGCAAGTTTAGTTTTTTTTTTTTTTTTTCAACAGTAGATGGCAGATGTGAAACCTGTCTCCAGTTCCCCTCGTCTTGCCTTTCCTCAACAAAGCTGGCACACTGTCAGACTGCAGTAACATAGATCTAGATCTAGTGGTGATATGTGGGAATCCAACAGGGGCGGGTCGACCAGACTAATTACAGATGGTAGCTTTAAAATTTTGAGCTGGTACAAGTAATTGACTATTGAGCGCATCCTCAATATAAGCCGCATCAACTAAATTAAAAAAATTTTTTTTTTAAATTGTACATATATAGGCCGCACTTGAATATAAGCTGCAGGTGTCCACGTCTTTAAAAACGTTTTCAAATTCGGGCCATCTTTTATTATTGCCTTTGCTGTTGCCAAAATCTCACCATCGACTCACTAATGCCAAGCTCACATGCAGCAGCTCTGTTTCCTTCTTCCACAGCCAAATCAATCACCATTAACTTAAGCTGCATCATCTGTATTTCTTCGTGTATTTTCCATAAGGACTGTGTGTATGAAGCGCAAAATAACTGTTCAAAACACAATCAAACAAGTATCTTTCTTGGCGCATTACCACGTTTCTCCCCGCACTCTACTGCGCATGTCTCTTGCAAGAGCCGCTGTCCTGTCTGTATTATGTCAGTGTCTTGTAAGATTTCAAGAGATTTCAAGTTCTCCCGGGAGAGAGGCTAGTTCTGTCAGTCAGGTATGAGTGGATGTCTGAAGTTTGAGACGTTTTTGCTCGTCATTTACACATACGGGTAAGACAAATCCCCCTCACTAATGTTCATTTAGCATCATAATTTATTCTATAAATAAACTATGTGCTGACAATATGGCTAGCTAGTGTAGCAACTTCATATTAGCTCTAGACCCATGTGTGAACCGCACACACAGCAGCGTTTTCTGCACTCAGGCTGCACACATCTGCAGTGTCGCCAAACCATACACCGTATGTATGAATGGACAATGTGCCAAACAAATAATCTGTCCATATATTAGCCGCATGGTTGAAAGTGTGAGAAAAAAGTAGTGGCTTATAGTCCAGAATTTACGGTAATATATATTTCTTAATCTGCTTGCTTATACACTGGTGCCTATAAAGTCATATCTAGTAAGGAACCTTATACACCAACATTTAACTGGTAAAAAATCTAGTTTAATTATGTTATATTTCCTGCAGTAAAGGAAGAGGACAGTCTCATTACATTAAGAACTGACCCTACATAACTTGTGTAATTTGGGGCTCTTCTCACAGTTACTCAGTAAATTGTAAAATAGCATTATTAGCTTGGGAGGCATAGCGGTCACAAGCACATGCAAACACAAAGCTAAGCGTGTGTTAGAGGAGGAAGAGGAGACATTTAGTTAGAAAAAAAGACAAAGTATACAGTAAATTTTCAACCTCACACACACAACGTTAAAACAGAAATGAGCATTTGTGACAGAGACAGACAGTAAGCAGTACGAGCTCGCTCCTGATTGGTCCACGGCAGGGCTTAGGCCACGCCCCCTCTGAGTTCACATGGTGAGGACGCCCTGAGATTACCTGCTGCAGAGGCCCAGAGCTGGACGGACATAGACAGACAGACAACAGAGACTGACGCACTGAAACAAGAAAGAAGAGCTTTATAAACCAGAACAGACACAGACAATAGCCCCTTTTACACTGGTATCTAATGTGTGTGCATGACCTAACCTTCGACCCTAACCTCAGACGGCATAATATTTATCTGTTTTTGAGAATTTTGTAAAGTGCATAAGCTATAATGCGTCATAAATGTAAAAAAGTTTTTGCTAAAAAGGCTAGCCAATGTGACCTAGACTAAAAGTCAACACTCAGAAGTGTATGAATAATGCACCTAAGTGATTTTAAGTGTATAAATAACACAATTGCACTATTATTAATTAATTGTCCATCAGTGTAAAAAGGGCCATAGAGACAGACAAGAGAAGAACACAAGGAGGGCCAGCTTGGGTGACTGGCGCTTTAGCGAGGGTGGATGAGACGTGAGATGAAAGGAGGTGGAGATGAAGAAGTGAAGAAGTGGCGGCACGGTCGTTATAAGGCAAAGCTTGTGAAACATCACCCCCCCACCTTTCACATCAAACACATTGTACAGACTTAATACATAATCATACACCTGGTAGACAGTACAGTCACAGTACAGTCACAGGTGTATTGACTCACCACATGGGCCCTTGTGTTTGACCGGGATGAGGCTCCTGCTCAGACACTCAGCTTTCCGGCGTATACAGTCGTTGATGTAGGTGTGTCCGTCTTTCCCGCACAGGGGCTGGTAGGAGCCGTCACACTCGATGGGGTCACAGGAGCAGCGCGCCGTCAGCTGTTCCACCACACAGATGGCGTTGAACAGGCACTCCTCTTTACACAGCTCTGCAAGACAAAAATCTGATTATAAAGTATACTTATTTATATGTATTGATATAGCACTAAATTCCTGACCAAAGACCAGCTGCGCCTCTACTACATGAGGAAACTCAAGCAGGCAAGTGCCTCACCACCATCATGACCACATTCTACAGAGGAACCATTGAGAGCATCCTTTCAGCTGCATCTCTGTGTGGGGTGGAGGACCACGGCAAGGGAGCCCGGCAGCGCATAATGAACACACCCAGGAAAATCGCTGGTGCACCACTCCCCTCCCCGCAAGACATATACACCACCCACATCATCAGCATATACACCACCTGCCTCAACCGCACTGCCCTCTGGGAGGAGGTACAGGAGCCTCCATTCCCACACCACCAGACTCACAAACACCTTCATCCACCAGGCTGTTAGGATGCTGAACTCTCTCCCCTCTCTAACCACCAGGCGGCCAGGAAGCAGGAATCTGCGTCTCTCTAAAGAAGAATTTTGGACTTTTCCTTTTATTTTAGTATTATTTAATTTAGAAGACTGACACTGAGAACATAATTTCAGTTTTTCATATGGAAATTTTACAATAATCGTTTTGAATTTTGAATTTGATTTGATACATTGCAGTGGCATCATGCTGGGGGTGTTCTACGTGTATCTCTAATGGTGACACAATGCCCACATTAGCAAATACTGCCCAAAAAGTTTTAAGATGATTCTGAAAACTCAAAGAAAAATACAAAATGGATTTAAACGACACATTTCAGGAGCCTGTGATCAGTCATGGTCCAATTTAGGTGTTTGAGTTTCGACAAAAAGGTGAGCGTGACTAAATGAAAAAATGTTGGCTAATGCTTGCTAGCTTGTGAAGGTAATTAGGGAGGGAGATACTTTATTGATCCCGAGGGAAATAATAAGCGTGAGAGGCTTGTTTAAGCGCAGAAATCAGCTTACCTGTTGTAGTTCCAACTAAGTGAGTTCTTTATGGTCAAATTGAAAAATAAAGCTCAGATTAAAATCTAACAGAGCTTCAGACAGAGTAGTGTCTTCAGTTAGCGTCACACCCCCAAGTAATGTTGATGACATCAATTGCAATTTATCAATACAATTTCTACCTTTCATTTGTGTCGAAATATCCCTGTGTGAAACACTCGCCTAGATATGAGTCAGTGACAAAACATACTTCTAACCTCAAAGTCCCAATCAATGCACTACAGGCAAAATCCAATATGGCTACACAACTACTTTTAGAACTTTTCAACTGGCTTTGATGACTCATCTCTAGAGCTGAACGATTTGGGAAAAATATATAATTGCATATTTTTCTTTTAGGTTTGCAATTTATCTTTTAATATGAGGGTTGTGTTCAAAGTTCACATTCTAAAAGTATCTAGAAAATTCACAAAAAGACTGAAATATGAGCTGAAGAATCAAAAATACAAGAATCACATTTCATTGTGCAGATATGAACTACAGGGTTGGCCATTTTAATGCAGAATAAGACATAACATTTTGTTGTTTGTGGAGGAGAATATGGTACACACTTGGTGAGTGTGGTAATTGCAGGCTTTGTGTTGTTTCAAATTATGATTTAGATTCACTTGTGATTAATGTTGCAGCCCTACTCATCTCTACGCAGTGGTGCAGATGAACTCTCTTACCACATTACTATCATCTGTAGTTAATGTGTAAAATAGATGGCGCTGTGGTGCACGTGCTACTGCAACATATGGAGAGAACATTAGAGATAGCTGCGTCCAGTGTATATGTGTAGAGTGGCCAGATAAATGAGTACGGTGTCTGTGGCCGCAGTAGCCTCTTGAGCCGATAAGAGCCAGCGGGCCTGTTATCTGTGCTATTAGAACAGCCTCTAAGCCTTGGTCAACAAAGAGCTGTCAGCTGCTACTGTACGACTGATAGGCATCGAAGGAAATCCAATTTCCCTGTGTGCACTGTGTCTTGTGTCAGCGGGCCGTCACCTTTAAAGACACACCCTTGACCATGCTTCTCCACAGGTCCATCTTTTGTATGTGTTACAATGGAGACGCACTTCCTCAAGAGCCAAAGGTTAAAAGTGGGTTAAACAAAGATATTGAGGGTTTAAAGCAGGTTGAAAATGTTTACAGCTATATAGAATTTAATTAAAGGTGGACTATGTCATTTTGGAGGTGTGGGGTCAGCCATCGGATTGTCTCTATGGAAATGTGGTTGATTTGCTTGGAATGTTCCACAATACTGCAACAAACTCATTATAACTCAAAAATACCTTACATTTTTTAGTTATAATAAGTGGCCATACTGGCTTGTTGTGGCCATACCAGCTTGTAAAAGCCTGATCCCATCAGCTCTCAGAAGCTAAGCAGGGCTGGGCCTGGTTAGAACTTGGATGGGAGACTATTGGGAAAATCAGGTGCCACAGGGGGGTGCCAGTCGTAAAAACTGTTGTTGTGTTCTTAAGCAAGGCACTTCACCCACATTGCCTAGTATGAAAGTGGTGTGTGTGTGTTGGTGGCAGTTGGAGAGGCCAGTGGTGTAGATTGGCAGCCTTGTTTCCATCAGTGTGACCCAGGGCAGCTGTGGCTACAATAGTAGCTTACCACCACTGGGTCTGGAGTGAATGAATAATGCTCTGTAAAGTGTTTTTGAGTGTCCAAAAAAGTGCTATATAAAACTGATGTATTATTACTATTAAAAAAAAACATGCATTGTTTCTCTGAAGATGCACAGATCTGATCTGTAACTTGGCTTGGTGGTGCTGTCAGGTTGTCTCCATGGAGATAGATCAGTTTAATGTGTAAATATGGTGGTGAACATACCATCCAACAATATCCATGGAGACAAGCAGGAGTTGGAAAAATTGCATAGTGGACCTTTAAATATATGTTACTGACCCCTGACACTTAATTATTATGTTTTTATATCAATAATTAATTAATACATATTTTTTATTTAATAAAAAAATCCCAAAATATACACTAGTCAACCTTGATCACTGCTTTGATGTCAGTTTTTGCCAACCGTTAGTTATTCCAAGTTTGTGAATGTGTGTGCCAATTTGCAAGTGTGCAGTTTTTCCCAATTGGAATTAATTCAATTTGAAACAGAGATCCATGAAATCACATCCCAAAGCAAATGACAAATTGGCAGCTAATGGGAAGGCCATTCTGACTTGTACCATGACATTGCACATATAAGGCCCCTCGCTCACATACAGAGCTCAAGTAATTAAGCGTGGCACGAGCGCCTTTAAGGACAGCCTTTTAAAGATGAGAGGAAGGAATTGAATCGCTGTACAAATTTGATCCAGTGATCAGGAGTAAAATACATTCAAAGCATGACGAGCCCTTTCAGAATAGACCTTCAAATTGGATTTTCTCACTTCAGCTGCAAATTTGCCGTTTTACATTACCACTGTTTCCTTCTTTTCTTAATTTCCTCAGGTCATTTCTGCTCATGGTTAAAATGAACAAAAGGAAAAGTTAACTTAAAGACTAAAAGTTTTCTCAAAAATTTGAATTATACTTAGTAAGCTTATACAATACAACATTTAAATACATTTATACACTGTGCTATTGATTTCTATGGTATTGATTGCTTGAAGACATTCCTTACACAATGTTATTACTAAATCTTGGACTGAGACCTAGACAAACTTTATTGATCCACAAGGGAAATTATTTGGATGCTGTAGCTCACACATCATAGTATATTATAATAACAAAGTGCAACAATATAAATGGTAATAATAACTTCAGAATAAGTAGAAGGAGAAGGAGAAATATGGCAAAGATGAAACAGTGATTGCCATGATACAGGGTTATCTTTTACATAAGGGTGAGTTGCACAGATGTATGGAGTATTGTATAAATCTAGTCCTGTATCTATAGAGTAATTTCACAACTAGTGTAGAGTAATACAGTTTTATATTTTAAGTAACAGTTCCGTACAGCTTTTTAAGTACTCTGTTTGTGTATATCACTGTTTATATTTTTGTTTTTTTCTTGTGCGGTTTGGTTTTAGTGCGGTTCACACTGACAGTCCGACACTACATGTAATTACTGTTTGGATGAAAAGTGATTTATTTCCCAGTGGCCGGACAAACGCCGCAGGAAGAGCAATCAGTAAGGAGCATCTCAGAATTGAATTTTTGTCTATTCTAGCCCTGCTCCCAACTTGTATATCAGCTTCCAACAAAAGACAAGACAGAACAAAACAAAGGCAGCTGAATTTTAAACATGATATGCATAGGTAGACTTAGGTCATAGTTTCTTATGATGAATACCAAAATGGCAAATGATGATCAAGGGTACTTTTTAGCCCTGTATGTTCTTTTAAGTCACTTTGTTTTTTGAAAGTTGTATGTAACACTGCAACATGGTCACCATCTTGTCTCTATAAATAAGTTCAATGCCATACTGTGGGACACGTAAGGAGACCAAAGGAACTTCACTCTTAAGTAGATGATCCAAGATATGTCTGTACTTTATTGTACTGTCTGTACGATTGTAAGGCAGACCAATGGTACATGTATTTACTGTTTCCTCATCACAGACATATGCGGAGTTGTGTTTTATTTCATTCACACATGTGTAACACACGAATCCTGCATATTTGCGCTGAATTCTTCTCTCAAACTGAAAACGTGATGTTATGTGGTAACACAGGATGTGCTTCATTGTGTTTTTAAACTACATACACTGTAAATAGGACCATTTGGATAATATAACCCCTGGAATTTCCAATCTTTAGTGAACAAAATGTAAAAGGTAGCTGTTAAGTTGAAAATTATGAATAACACAAGGTGGAACAGAGCATTTTAAACTTTGGAAATGTAGACAGACTAATAACAAATAATTACTCAAACATGTGTGAATGAAACAAAGCACAACTCCACGTATGTGTTTGTCTGTATTTTTAAAGTTGGTGAGTGTTTCTTGAATCCTTACCATGTTTGCGACAGTGCCCGGTGTGGACCTTGGTGATCTTGACCCCCTTCTGCAGCCTGGTGGCATACATGGCGCACTCGCTGGGGTAGGTGTGTCCGTCACTGGCGCACAGCGGTTCAGCGTCAGGCGGGCAGGACTCTGGGAGGCTGTAGAGGAGGGGCTCTCTGGTCAGACTGTCCACACGGCAACGGCTATTCAGGCTGTTCTCACTGTTCTCACTGTCTGCACATGGGTCTGTGGAGACAAACACACAGATTAGAGACTAGGCCTTAACAAAAAACAGAAAACATCTTTAGATAACTTAAAGGTGTACTGCTTGTTTCTATGGATATATCATTGCTCTGCCTGGAATGTTCCACAGTATGACATTAAACAGCTATACTTTACATTTATGAAATTACAAGTGGTCTTATAGCTCAAAAACCCCTAGAAAAACAGGCATTCTGACTGTGAGCGGGGTAGCCTCTCCGCCGATCTGACCTGGAACTCTGCTTTGGTCTCCATAAAGATAGAAAAGTTTAATACCATACGATTTCAGACAAAGCAATTAACTGTACAATTTAACGGTACTTGGGCTGCACAATTTAAGATAAACAGCTAACTCCAATTTCTCTGAATAGTATTGATTATATTTGCAAATTATGTTTAAAGAGTAGGATTCTGTTCAGAGAGCTCATTAGAGACATATCCAGAAGTAGCATTTGAGAAAAGAATGAAATACAAACTTGCTACTAAATACTTTTTAGTGAAAAGAGAGGCAGTTTCTGATTTATAGAACAGACTCCAAAGTCAAAAAAGAACATGGACTAGACATCGGCACAACAAAATCTCACTTTGTTAGTCCTTGTGTTGTCATCCACATAACAAGTAACTACACTGTTCAGAAAGACTGCCTTAAATATGAAATACTGACAATAAGTGACATTCAAACTCCACAAAATGTATGAAAGAAATGATTAATATATAAAGTATTTGTGCCACCACAGTCTGAACAAAATCCATGGGAAACACTGAGAGAGGATATCTTGTTGATACAGCAGACATTCTATTATCTAAACAATTGTAGCCTTTGCAATTTGACAATAGTACCAACTCAAATTGTGTTTTTGTGTTATTGTGCAGCCTTATTCTGTATTTGCTTGTGTTCCTAAAACCATTTTGGTTTTTAAATATCTTCAAACTCATTATTATCTTTGCTTATAGTACAAAGTGCGAAATAAAAACTAAACTTTAATTAGCCACTGGAGAAAAGGGAGTACAGTTTGTTTAAACAGTGCTCGAGATCCAAATTCCAAAATAGTACTTAAGCTAAAAAGCATGACAATTTGGCTTACGAAACACGGTACAGGATGCGCCAGCTTTAATACTGGCATCTTTCTCATTAAGAACACGCTCAGGTTTTGGATAAAACTTTCCAAAGTAAGTTTTTCTGGTGGAGGGTCTTTTACCTGCTTGTTTCCATGAAGATGCGACTGAAAACTCACCTCTTCTCCCTGGCATTTAGTACGAGCTAGTCAGGTTATCTTGGTAGTTTTAACATGTTTTCTGTATATTTGTATATGTAACTGTTTCTTCTATGCTGTTGCTTTTGACTTGTATGTGAAGCACTTTGGTCAACTGAAGTTGTTTTAAATGTGCTATATAAATAAATTTGAATTTGAATTTGAATTATTGATTTCCCTGGAATGTTCCATGGTATGGCATTAAACATATCCATCTGGTATTTATTCATTATGAGTGTTTCTAATGCTGAAAAATACAATAATTCCTTCTGTGAAAAGGGGCAACTCTCTACAGATTTGAACAGTAATGTAGCGTAGGCTGTAACCTACTTGTCTTCCTTGTGATACATAGATTTAATCTAAACTGTGGAACAGAGGTGGGACCAAGTCGTTGTTTTACAAGTCTCAAGTCTTTGACCTCAAGTCCGAGTCAAGTCCCAAGTCGAAGACAAGCAAGTCCAAGTCGAGTCTCGAGTCCCTGACCCATCACTCCAAGTCAAGTCCAAGTGGTCATTTCAAGTCTTTAAACCAAAGAACCAAATATAGCTTAGATTTTTCCAATTTATATGAATTTTAAACTAAATTGTACTTAAAAAGTCATGGTATATGAGTATTTATATAAGAGTTGTAGAAATGCTTTTTTTTTTTTAAATGTCTTGACAAAAGTGCAAATTATTATGGTCAGAATAAAAAGAATGAAGATTTAAGAGTGCTTCATAACAGTCAACTAGGCCTCAAGTCTGAGTCAAGTCCCAAGTCTGTCTATTTTACTAAGTCAAGTCTCAATTCAAAAAAATAGTGACTCAAGTTTTGACTCAAGTCCAAGTCACGACTTGCAAGTCCCCAACTCTGCTGGGGAACATATAGACAAAGCAATAACATTTCCATGGAGACAAGCAGGTAAAAGCTGCGCAGTGCACCTTTAAGTTTGGAGTGAGTTACTGGTGTAAGCTTGCAAAGTTAGAAGAGGAAGGACAGAGGAACGGCAAATAAAGTGTAATAGGTAGAAACAGAGACATCATAGTCCATCATGGCGGCTCCTCCGATCTTATCTTGAGGCCGGCAGCTGTGCCTCTCACTGTGGGACCCAGGATCCCAGGGCCAGACAGGGAATAGATGAAATAGAGGGTGTGTTTGATTTGCTCCCTGGCACTTCCCTATGCCTAGACATAGCAGCTGTCTGGCTCACTTCTCCATATCAGCGCGGGATCATAATAGAATTGGTTTGTGGATGTGTGGGACGGGGTGTTACTTCTGGGCCTTATCCTCACTCACGGTGCGGCAAGACAAAGGATTAATGTAGCACCACAGCGTATTAAATCTCAACCTAGCTACCGGCGACTTATTCAAAATACAAGAACGGAGCGAGTGATCATCAAGAAAGGAGGTGGGAGGTGGTAAAGCCTGCTGGAAGTGCTACAAAAGGGGGACCCAAACGGGATAGGGGGATTTGGCTGTTGAGTAGGAGGAGAGGAGGAGAGAGAGTGGGCTTGGCTTTGGTCAGATCCACACTGTTTTCTATCAACACAATGTAGTGGTTCGCTGGGGCTAAAACAAACAAACACGGCTGTATCATTATTCATGGAGTGAATTTGTGAATTTCGTCAACATCCAGCTACATATTAACACTGCAGCACTGTAATACACAATGTATGTGGTTTTCAATGTACAAATATGCTCCAAGTATGTAGAAATGCACAACTTATGGTCAATCTTTATCAGTCATTATTTATTTATACAGGCCTTTACAATATACAAGGTGACCAAGTGCAAAAGAAGTTCAAAGCAAGTCAAAACCCAAACTTCAAGCTTCTTAGTATTTGCACTACAATATCAGTTGGAACTCCATTGCATATTTTGATCTAAATCATCCAAAATCCACTTATTACTGGAGGTGGGACCAAGTCATTGTTTTCCTTCAAGTAATTTCAAGTCTTCAAACCAAAAAAGTACCAAATATAGCTTAGATTTTTACTATTTATGTGAATTTTAAACTAAATTGTACTCAAAAAGTCATGGAATATTTATAAATATATAAAATGCTAATTTTTCTTTTTTAAATGTCCTGTGAAGATCTTAGTGTGAATCATTACGCTCAGAATAGAAAGGATTCACATTTAAAAGTGCTCAATAACAGTTATTTTGTCATGTAGTTTGCACTGAAATGGAAGGATCATGTTCTATATAGTTCCCTCTGTTTTACTGTATTGTACTGTATTGCATTGTACATTACTGTAGTACATTTGATGATACCATATCACAGTACTTCATTTCCATTTAACGTAACAAATGGAGAAGTGGGAGGGACATGTTCCAGTTTGTTCCTGTAAAATTAAGCACCACAAATGTAGGAGAAAAGAGAAAAGTATTTTCTAAACAAGATATATATATATATATATATATATATATATATATATATATATATATATATATTTTTTTTTTTTTTTTTTTTTTTTTTTTTTAGGAGAAGCATTAAGTCTTCTCAAGTCTCAGGCCCCAAATCCGAGTTAAGTCTCAAGTCACTGACCTTCAAGTCCAAGTCAAGTCCCAAGTCTTAGTCCATTTTATCAAGTCAAGTCTCATGTCTTAAACTCATGACTCAGTGACTCAGGTCTGACTCAAGTCCAAGTCACGACTTGCAAGTCTCCACCTCTGGTTATTACACTATGCTTGCTGTATGTATTAAAACTTGATGACACACACTCCAAGAAGGTCCCAGGTCACAGAACATGTGTTGACTGTGACAAGTTTTCATATCCTCCCTTTGTTGCTTTTTTTGGGTTAAAGGTAAATAGAAATGATTCATGTGCATTTAATACCAAATTATTTTGTCTATATTCACAAGCTGTTTTGTTACTTTCCTGCAACATCATTATTCCTGAATTACTACTGAATAACCTCCACAGGCATATACCTCTATACCTCTCACTATCAGAGTGAACAGGATAATTACTGAAAGAATAAGCTGCAAGCTACGGAGGCGAGCAGGGCGGATAAATCAGACGCATTTGTTTGACTCCAGACGGCTGGAGCTGGAGCAGAAATGGCGCTGGAAGATTTAGGGGGCCATCAGGGCTGACTGGTCCCCGGGCCCCAGCGCCTCCCCGGGGAGCAGGGGGCCAACTCCGGTCACTTTGGCTCACTCCGATTGGATTTATACCAGCAGCTCTCCTCTGTGGAACTGGCTATCCGTCTCTGTGTGCCTCTGCCCGCTCCTGGATCCTGCTGCTATGAAGAACCCTCCATATGGTCTCACCAACAACAACAACTTGGGAGCCTTGGGAGTAAACAACGCTTGTGTGATGATAACAAGGAGGAACACAAAAAGACCAGTCTCCATCAGACGCGACAACTGCAGACCTACTTAGAGAAAACAGCAGTCCCCACAGCAGGAGGAGGTGCTACCTGAATGAAGGAAGGGAATTAGTGTGATTCTAAATGCAGGTACTGAGAGGAAAAACAACACAATGCTAAGAAACAATGAGAGAAAAAACAGGCAGCTGTAAAATGGATATGCAGGAAATTTGGAAACACAGACACAATAAAGTATAGTTGAGGGATAGTAGGTAAAAATGTTTGTGTACAACAAGTGTGTCTGTGCTTAATACAAAATAATCAACTTGAAATAATAAATGAACAAATAAACTCAATGCATAACTCTGTTTTCTCTCAGTGTTTACGTATAGGGCAAAACTATCCAAAATTGTGTCCCTTCATCCATTGTCATTTGATAGCACTCTGCTTTTCAGTCCATTTAACAAATTAAGGTACACTAGACGGTTTGCAAGTACCCTGGAAGTTGTAGACCATGCACCGGCCAATCAGCAAAGAGCTGTGAAGCCATGACTGGGACCCTTTTTTGGTACAACACAAAAGTAAACAAAGCAGTCGAGATGGATGAAGACGAAGCCATACATTCTGTGTTGGCAATGATTCCTGAGATCGAGGATTTAAAGCCAGAACAAAGATAATGTTTGGTGAATTTTATCAAGGGGAAAGACTTTATTGCCCTTCTTCCTACGGGATTTGGGAAAAGCTTAATATACCAGTTAGCGGCGCTTTACATACGTCACGACCAAATAGCAGTGACTGGTTAAATTTAAAAAGTACCCTCCTACCGCTGAGCAAATGAATCCTAATGCTGCGAGGTCAGACCGCTTCCACAAAGGGAACCCAATGTAGCCTGATTCAAGGCTACATTTGACTGTCCTAGTAGGAAAATGTGTCCTCTGCATTTGACCCATCCTTCAATGCTGCTGGGGCAAACAGTCAGGAGCAGTGGGCATTGCAGAACTACCTTAACTGGAGGATTTTTTTCAATTGTGCATGTTTTGGGTTGTGAGTACATTTGTTATATTTGGTCAGTTAAAAGATCAGACTCTTCACTGACATGATTGCCCCTGAGACACTGAAACTCAGGATGTATGCTTGGTCTGTTTTTGCTCTCACCACACAGTCCTTGGTACTGCGGATGTTCTTCTGGCTGTTGCAGGCATGCTGGTGCAGTTCACACTCGTTCCTGTAGTCTTTCCCATCGCTGCCGCAGACCGGCTTCTCCGCTTTACCCTCGCAGCCCAGAGGACACATGCACTTGGCCGACATACCGTCTGAAGACTGGACACAGGTGCTGCCGTAGCTGCACACCACTTCGGAGCACGGATCTTTCAGAGCTGTGAGAGGAAAAGACAGAAAAAGCGGTTATTACGACTGTCAGACTGGGCTGTACTGTACTCCAGAGTGCATCACCATTGACAGAATCCCATTTAAGTGGCTGCTGCTGCACTTTTCAAAGCCCAGAGCAGTTATTCGGTCTTCTCGAGTACTACTTGGCCTCCCCTGGATAAGAACAGCCTGTCACTCTTGTCTCCTCATACAAACAAGTTTCATTTTGAATTCAATTAGGAGCTTTGCATTCTGGGCACATTTCAAAATTACTACACCAGGGTATGCTTTAATCGGCACGTCTGAAAAGCGACCTCCTGAATATTTACCTTTTGCAAATGAGCTGTGGAGCTGAATAAGAGAAGGAAGTGCCAGCCGCCCCCAGGACTCAGTTTCCAATGTAATTAAACAGCACGCCACTTGTTACTTAAACTGATACTGTGGGTTGTTCTCAGCGGGGGTGCGCCCGTGTATTACCACTGTTACAGCATGGTCGGCCAGAGTGATAAACAGCCAGGAGAAAGACCGCCTGGAGAGTCAGGTTTTAGTCTTGTGAAAACAAAAACAAAAGACCAAGCTTGGGTCTGCTTTACACTCAAAATGAACACCAATTCAACTTGAAGCCTTATAGTGTAAAATCTGAATATAGTAACATTTTAAGGAAGTTGTACCAGGTTTGTTTATTTATATCAAAGCCAGGTTTTGTTGAAAGAGCTGCTTTAAGTCATTGAATTTCATGTCAAAATGTCAGCTGGAGTGTAGTAGTACTATATTAAAGGTGCACCGAACAGCTTTTGTACTTGTCTCCATGGAGATGTTATTGAAATGTTCCATAGTATGTTATTAAACATATATCTCTAACATTTATTCATTATAGATGTGTATATTTCTCAAATTTACAATTCTTTTTGTAAAATAGGGGCAACTCTCCAAGATCTGAATAGTAATGTAGCGTAGTGCTGTCTACCTTCTGATATAGATAGGTTTAATCTATACTGTGCAACATTCTAGACAAAGTGTTTCCGTAGAGACAAGCAGGTGGTGAAATGTTGTGCTGTGTACCTTTAATGAAAATATCTAAACCGACTGAAGTGTGATAATTTGTCACATCTGATTATTAAAAATGCACTTTAGGTAGAAGTCGGGAAAAAATATTTTGTTAAAAAATAATAATAAAGTTTTTGTTCCATGTAGATAGTAATAACAGAGATATTAAGCATAATCCAGGTCAAACATCTGTATTTTAATGGTAACTGTCAACCACAATTCTCATGTTATTTCTCTTTAACCTACTGTTTGCTCAAGTATTGCCAAACGTAATAATAATACTCGTCTCATATTCATAAACAACCAATCTGGAGCAGCCCATTCCTCTCTCACTGCATGAGAGGATGGGGTGTTACTCAGCTGAAGATGCCCTCTCTTAGATTTCATATTCTCCACAAAAGACAGCCGTGAGATTACAATCTGTGCCTTGTTGGTGCGTGATCCATATTTATGACAGTCTCGGCCAGATGTACGCTTCAGTGAGAGCCCAGCGCTGGCAGCCTTTTCATTTCCTAAGACGCGCCACTTTAAAATAAATATTTACTCATGTCCAATATTAAAGCAGCTTTTGTTCAACCAAACCACCATGAATCTCAATGATCGGGGGTAGTGTGTCTATTTAAAGGGCCCATATTTTCTGATCTATGTTATAATGTTGTTTCACAAATCACAAACATACCCAGGGTTGTGTTTTCTTTCACTCACACATCTTACACAAAATCCTGCATATTTAGGCTGAGTTTTTCTCTCAAACTGAAAACATTCTGTTCAAACCTCTATGTTTTTAAACTCCATATACCTTCACTAGAATCATTGGATGATTTTAGTTCTGTATTTCTAATCTCTACTGAACTAAATGTAAAAGGGAGCTGTTAACTTGACATCATTGAATATGCAGAAAATCTTATAATGCATATTTAATCAAACATGAATGAAACAAAGCACAACTTCGGATATGTGAGGAGGTTACAGCATTATAACATGGCTTAAAGGTACACTGTGTAAGTTGCTTCTTCAGTTCTGGTCAAAATGCTGGTAGAGACTTCCTTATATTTGCCTGAAGGGAGGAGCTAACTACACTGAAACAAATCACATCTACTTGTTTACAGTTTCTGTTAGTTGGCTAGGCCTATTGAACTGCACTGAGTGTGGGGTTTTATTAGTAGAATCATTCAGGGCCATAATGGAGCTTTCACACCTCTGGGCCTGACCTGGTTATCCCTGTTGTTTTCTTGTTTGTTTTGATTTAGGTTTGAGCATGGAGTTGTAAACATTTCTGTTCAAAGATGGATTTTCTTTCCTAACAAAATAGCTTCTTTAACTCTCCTCTCAAACTAGTTCTTTTCTCTGGCTAAGATTTGTACCTCACTGTCCTCAAAGGGGTGGTCCGAAGCTTTTAGGTGGAGATGCACAGCAGACTGAGGTCCACTATGGCTCTCTCGTCTGTGTTGGTAAATTTTTGTCCAGTTGACAAATTGAAATTCTCCTTTTGCCATGGACTTTACCTGGACAACTGAGGGATTTTACACACTTACACTGTGTAACTTGTTGCTTGGTCAGTACCTGCTTGTTTCTATGAATATGTCATTGCTCTGCCTGGAATGTTCCACAGTATGACAATAAACACCTCTGGCTTACATTTATTAAATTACAGGTGGTTTTATAGTTCAAAAATACCTGACCTGTAACTTGGTCTGGCTTGGTTTCCATGACGATAGAAAGGTTTAATACCATACTGTGAAACATTCCAGACAAAGCAATAACATCTCCATGGAGAAAAGCATTTGACGGACCCTCCACCAGGAAAGTTACACGATGCACCTTTAAAGCTCACAAGAGTCAGTTTTGCGTAATATAGGACCTTTAAAGTTGCAGTGTGCCGTTTCATGTAGGTTTGATGGCACACTTGGGGGAGAATGGCACTACTGGTTTCTTAATAAGAGCCTGCAATGTGAGCTCAGATATATTATAGATGTTAAGAGACAGCGGTGGTACTGATCAAAAGCCTTCCCACACGACGCCTCATCTTTTTGACACTTTTTGGCTGTTCGCTTTCCCCGTCAAGTCCTTTTGAGGTTTTGCTCCCTAACGAATATTTTCCTCCTTCCTTCCTGCCACTCCAGACCTAATTTATGACAGAAAAAAACTTCAAAAAACAAAGTTGAAAATTATTGTTCTCACTCGAAGGGAGGTTAATGCAGAAGAATGAAATCAGAAGTCATTGTGGGGGCTTTAATGGCGGCCGGGAGAGGCAGACAGCAGAGATGACACTTGGCCTCTAATCTGTGCTAATCATGGGAACAATACAAGGCTGATGACCTCCTGAGTGCTGCACTGCTATCAGATGTGGTTAGAGAAGGTAAAACACTCTTTACTTGTGTGAAACTGCTGGTACTTTCACACTTTCACACCTGAGTTCTAAAGATGTTTTTGGTGCCAGCTGGTTTCAGTGAAAGTTTCAAATAGGTCTAAAATCTCTAGAGCCAACTTTCCCGTCTAAATGTTATTGCATATACCCATATGGTGACATAGCCCAGCCAAATCCGAATTTAGATTGTTATGTATAAATGTACGCTCAAACCGCAAAACTACAAAAGTAGGTTTACTTTTTTTGGATTATAGATTTAATTTAAATTCATCCACACTCCCCATGTTTAAAAAAGCACTGAAAACCATCTCTTAAAAAAAAACAACCTTTCATTAACTGTCTTTTTCTGTTGTTTGTCTTTGTTTGTCTCCTCATGTAAAGCGCATTTGAGTATCTTAAAAAGCGCTATGCAAGTGTTATGTATTATTATTATTTTTTTAAATTTTATAGCTTCTGAAATTGTCATGATTCACAGTTTCCACAAGACGAGATGAGACACGAGATTGTGATTGTGTGCATGAGAACGAGACAAGACAAGACAAGAGTTTTTAAATTGTTATAATAATTTATTTTGAGAATTTTGGTCTCACCATTTTTAATTTACATAAATTTATTTATTTATTTATTTTTCCTGTCATTGTAGTACTTCTTTTTGGAACTACAGCTGCTAAAGAAACGTAACTCACCAAGACTTTACCCTGTTTTGTCCCATCCAAAATATAAACACAGGAAACAGAAATCTCTTGAGATTATTTTTCTCATGTGTACACAATCTTGTGGCAATTTTATCTCATGAGATCTTGTCACATCCCTACCAAATAATACTGAGATTTCTATTGACCTTATTCCCAAAGTTTCCACGGGCGCTGCCATTATTATTCTGCATTTATTCCTCAGGGCGTAATGAGGTGAATACTATAAATAAACAAGAACTTGACTTGAACAAAGCCAAAATCTCTGTCTCCTCATATCATCATTTGATTTGTTTGCCATTTGTTTGAATATTGTCATTAGGAGTGTGGGCCCCTGTCACAGTGCCTGGCTGTTAGGTTGCTGCTGGCAGTTTGAGCCCAGTGCTTCTCTGCGTCTACAGGGAGGGACCCCCTGTTTGCTCTGTGACAGTAAACACTCCGCTCCTCACACTTCTTCATCTCATTAAATAATAACCCAGGCTCACTCGTGCCTCTGCTCGGAGCGGGGGTCTACGCGCTGACAGCAAATGAGAGCTGGGGGGCATCCGAGTGAGGCGTACCAGGGGCGCTTGATTTGTATGCTAACACGGGGTGATTCAGAGACGAACGGGGCGGTGGTGCAGATAAGACTCGCTTCCTGCCTCAGACAAGCACGCAAATCGACTGGGCGAATGTGAGCGGCGTAACAAGCAAACTTCACCAACTGATATTTTCTCATTATTATTATTATCATGCGAACGAGGGCCAAGAAAAGCAGCGCAGAGAAAGTACGGCTATGGAGAAATTAGAATGATCCGGACCGGCAATTAGATCTGTCTCCCACACCGGAGTCAGGCTCGCTCTGAAACGGATAATGAGAAAGCAAAGATAAGCACGCAGATAGACGCAGATAAAGACTCAA